AGTTTTGGGAGGTTGTATGAGTCTAGGAATTTATCCATTTCTTCTAGATTGTCCAATTTGTGAGCATATAGTTTTTCATAGTATTCTCTTATAATCCTTTGTATTTCTGTGGTATCCATTGTAATTTCTCCTCTTTCATTTCTAATTTTATTTATTTGAGCCTTCTCTCTTTTTTCCTTAGTGACACTGGCTAAGGGTTTGTCAATTTTGTTTATCTTCTCAAAGAACCAGCTCTTTTTCATTGATCATTTCTACTGTTTTTTTTTGGGTTTCAATGTCATTTATTTCTGCTCTAATTTTCATTATTTCTCTCCTTCTGTTGACTTTGGGCTTTGTTTGTTCTTCTTTTTCTAATTCTTTTAGGTGTAGTTTAAGGTTGCTTATTTGGGCTTTTTCTTGTTTGTTAAGGTGGGCCTGTATTGCTATGAGTTTCCCTCTCAGGACTCCTTTTCCTGCATCCCATATGAGTTGGTATGGTGTATCTTCATTTTCATTTGTCTCCAGATATTTTTTGATTTCTCCTTTAATTTCTTCAGTGATCCATTGGTTGTTCAGTAGCATGTTGTTTAATCTCCACATCTTTGTCACTTTCCCAGTTTTTTTCTTGTAGTTGTTTTCTAGTTTCATAGCATTATGGTTGGAAAAGATACTTGTTATGATTTCAGTCTTATTAAATTTATTGAGGCTTGCCTTGTTTCCCAACATACGGTCTATCCTTGAGAGTGTTCCATGTGCACTTGAGAAGAATATGTAATCTGCTGTGTTTGGATGGAGTGCTCTATATATATCTATTAAGTCCATCTCATCTAGTTTTTCATTTAAGTCCACTGTTTCCTTATTGACTTTCTGGATGATCTATCCATTGATGTAAGTGGGGTGTTAAGATCCCCTACTATTATTGTGTTGTTGTTGACATCTCCTTTTAGGTTTGTTAATAGTTGCTTTATGTACTTTGGTGCTCCTGTGTTGGGTGCATGTATATTTATAAGTGATATGTCTTCTTGGTGGAGTGTCCCTTTTATCATTATATACTGCCCCTCTTTGTCTCTCATTACCTGTTTTATCTTAAAGTCTACTTTGTCTGATATAAGTATGTCAACACCTGCTTTCTTTTGTTTTCCATTAGCTTGGAGTATAGTCTTCCATCCTTTCACTCTTGAGCCTGTGTTTGTCTTTAGAGCTGAGATGTGTTTTCTGGAGGCAGCATATTGTTGGGTCTTGTTTTTTAATCCATCCCGCCACTCTGTGTCTTTTGATTAGAGAATTCAATCCAGTTACATTTAGAGTGATTATTGATATATGAGGGCTTAATTTTGCTATTTTATCGCTCATTTTCCAGTTCTTTTGCATTTCCTTTGTTTTTCGTCCTGTGTGTTTCAGACTACCAATTCAGTTTGGCAGTTTTGTATGATGGTTTTCTTAGTTTTCTCTTTATTTATCGTATGTGTCTCTGTTCTGATTATTTGTTGAGTGGTTACCATGAGGTTTGTATAAAAAAGCTCATAGATGAGATAGTACATTTTCTGATGGCCTCTTATTTCCTTAGACTAAATCTATTCCATCCCTCTCCGCTTCCCCTTCTAAGTTATTATCGTCACAACTTATTGCATCTTGTGTTGTGAGTTTGTGTCTACGGTGATGAGGTTGTATTTATTTTTGGTGTTTTCCTTCCCTTAATCTTTGATGTTATAATTAAGTGTTTGCTAACCTATTCTTATAGAGAACTGCAATTTTCCTGATTTTGTCTGTCTATTTTTCTCCTTGCTTAAAGCTAGCTTTGTGTCCCCTTTCTCTTTTTTTTTCAGGCATGAGGGCCTTCTTGAGCATTTCTTGTAGTGGGGATCTTGTGGCAACGAACTGCCTTAGCTTTTGTTTATCTGGGCTAGTTATTATTTCTCCATCATATCTGAAAGATATCTTCGCTGGATAGAGTATTCTTGGCTGAAAGTTTTTGTCTTTCAGAATTTTGAATATATCATTCCACTCTCTCCTGGCCTGTAAAGTATCTGCCAAGAAATTGGCTGAGAGCCTGATAGGGATTCCTTTGTATGTTGTTTTTGTCTTGCTGCCCTTAATATTTTTTATCTGTGACTTTTGCCAGCTTTACTACTATATCCCTTAGAGAGAGTCTTTTCATGTTGATATATTTAAGAGATCTGTTGACTTCATTGACTTGTATTTCCAGCTTCTTCCCCAGGTTTGGGAAGTTCTCAGCTGTTAGTACTTTGAACAAGCTCTCTGCTCCTTTTTCCCTCTCTTCTCCCTCTGGAATACCTATCCTTATGTTGCGTTTCCTCATTGAGTCGGATATTTCTCAGAGAATTGCTTCATTTCTTTTTAATCTTAGTTCTTTCTCCTCCTCTATGTGGAGCATTTCTGCATCCTCTCCTGAATATTTCGAATTCTTTCCTCCATATTGTCAGCTCTGTTCTTTAAAGATTCCAGATTTTTCTTATCTCCTCCATTGTGTTTTTCATCTCCAACATTTCTGATTGGTAATTCATTATAGTTTCAATCTCTTTTGTGAAGAAGTTCCTGATTTCATTGGATTGTCCATGTGCATTTTCTTGTAATTCATTGAGCTTTTTTATGATAGCTATTTTGAATTCTCTGTCATTTAGGTTATAAATTTCTGTGCCTTCAGGGTTGATTTCTGGGTGCTTGTCATTTTCCTTCTGGCCTGGAGATTTAATTTATTTTTGCATACTACTTGAGGGCGTGGGCTTATTTTTCCTCATTCTGAAAATATCTGGTCACAACTTCCTCCTGCTGCCACAGGGTGGGAGTCAAGAGCTGTGTATTCTGTGCCCACCGCAATCTGCGGGTGCTCTGCCTGACTGGCTGTGCTGGTGCTCTGGGTGGGGGGAGGGGCTCTTTCTTTTGCCTACCTGATCCCGGGGGCTTCTCACTCTTCCCTTGCTGTCTGCTCTCCTGGGGTACTAGCTTGATGAAGACACCCCTGCAACAGTTCAGTCCCCTCCATATGGGAATTTCCCACAGGCTGTGAGGGAACTTGGAGAGCGACAGTTTTCCTACAGAGGGTCGCCCCTCCCAGCCCCACCAGGAGCCGCATGGTCCCATTCCCAGGGTCTCTGTCATTGGGGAAGGAGAGGAGTTCTCCTTACCTCCTTCCACTTCCTCCAGGGGTTCCAGCACCTCCACCTTCAGATGTAAGGCTGCATGGGTCTCTCAGATGTCTTTTGTGTTGTGTGAATGTCCTCTGTTGGTATATGAATGTCCCTTTTGTTATATCTTACGGGGGGAGAGTCTAAGGGGGAAAGCTCACTCTGCCATGATGTTGACATCACTGGAAGTTAATTTTAATTAAAATATGAATCCTTACTCTGAAAGACTAAGTATTTTGGTACTCAAGTATAGGTACTCCCAGATGAAAAACAGTATATGTGGAAAAAAGTTGCTAAGTTTTAAAAAATGTGGTTTTAGTAGTATTAAAATTGTGGAAAATTGTACATCACTTCTATGTTAGCTTTCATCCGTTGGCTTTAATGTTTTATATCAAGGGTCAGCAACTCCTGACAAGTATGTCACAGAAAGCATTGAGCTGAATGCCAGGATACACTTCTCCCCCTGCTGATGCAGCTCTTTTCACCTCTTAGAAGAGCTAGATGCATTGTTGCACTTCCCTTCAAATGGATTTACACAGTACGCTTCCCTGGCTGGGCATCCATGACTCTTTCTGCCTCCACATCCAAGATGGATATGGAATGGAGCCTTACGCCATCACTATCAGCATTTTGCCAGCTCTCTTTTATTCTTGATTTTCCTATTCTTGAAAAGAAATTCATACTATTAGCTGGTTGATGTATTAACTTTCCTACATCTGGAGCCATTCTTGTTTTTTTAAAGAATAAGGAATTGCCTCTTTAGCTTTATCTTCAATAGGTTTCTGTTTAAAGAGAAGTTATTATTTCTGAAGCTATCTCATAACTTTTATGATTCTATCTGACAAGAAAGTAGATCATCTTGTATGGCATTTCATCTAATTGGACTTTTTCTATCAGTGAATAAGAACTTCAGTTGCTGAATTACTTTAAACAACTTTGCTCTCTCCATGCATTTTCACCCTAATATTGCGATGTATTTTTCAGGTTTTCAATTCAAAAACAGCAGAACTACTTAGTCATCATCAAGTGGAAATAAAACAAGAATTTCCAAGAGAAGGGTATGTTTCCTAATTTAATATGTAAAGATACATCATGTTTATTAGTTCATCTCACCCCACCTACCCTGTGCTTTGTAAACTTGATCAAACACCCTCCTGGGAAAACTTGAGGAATAGGTATTAGTCAAGAAAAGAGGCAATAACTTGGTAGCTCAGCAAAATCATGTGGGTAATTGATGGTTTAGAAATTCAATGACAGAAAAGGAGGGGATAATAAAGTAATCAAGCAAAGAAGTATTAGATAACAGAAATTCTACATTGGCTTTGAAGTTATTTAGTTCTGTGTCTCCATCATTGCCAAACTGCTGCTTTGCTGATTTGAGCATAAAGGTTTTTTTCTTAAATAAAGATATCTGTTTTTTAAAAAGCATTCACGTATTATCTAATACTGAAATCATCCTTTTTGGGAATAATGTTCATATGTAGTAATTGTGATTAAATACAATGTTAAGTATATTATGTAAAATTTAATGATGTTTATGATACATCCACTTTGAAAAACTCTGTGGCAATTTCTTATAAAATTAACCACACATCTGCAGCATTCCACTCATAGGAATTTATCCAAGAAAAATGAAAGCATATGTCTGTAGAGAGACTTATACATGAATGTTTTAGCAGCTTCATTCATAATAGCCCCAAACTGGAAATAACCCAAATGTCTGTCATCAGTAGAATGAATAACAATGAAATACTATTCAGCAGTTTTTAAAAAGTGAACTGATACACACGATAACATGGATGAGTTTCATTGATATCATGGAAAGTGAAAAAAGCTGGACACAAAAGAGTGCGTACTGTATGGCTCCATTTATCTGAAATTCAAGAAGAGGCTAAACTAATCTAGGATGATAGAAATCAAACAAGTGTTTGCCCGTAGACTATGCAACTGACTTGAAAGGGGCATGAAAGAACTTTCTGGAATGATAGAAATATTCTGTATCTCGACTGGGGTGTTGGTTAGATGGGTATATACATTTGTTAAAACTCAACAAATTATGCACTTTGGATCTGTGCATTTCACTGTAAAGTTTACTTCAATTTAAGAAAGAGAAAAAATTGATATCTTACCAAATTTTATCATTTTCTTTCCATGACAAATGTGCTCCTATGTTTTAGAGAATTATTTTGATTAATAATAAAAGCTATTGATATGTTAGCAGCATTAGAATGCCTGTCCATGGGCCTGATCCCAGTGCAATTTGGAGAAAGGATACCTGGGTCTTGGAGGGACAATAATTCAAAATATGTGGAAGGGCACTGGGTTTTTGGAAAAAGAGAATTTAGAAACAAAATTCAAAGCTCAGGAAAGGGAAGCATTTAGCCAGGCAGGCCTGAGGCAGGCAGAGAAGAAAGGCATTTGAAATTCCCTTGCTGCTTCCGGAAGCTACAGTAGGATTCTTTTAACTTGTGTCGTTTCTACTTTTGGGTTTCCTCAAATCGCCATTCGTTTCTCCCAGGTTTCTCTTCCTTGTCATTTATTATGAGCCTTTCATCCTTCTGAGGCCCTGGCACCTTGCCAAAAGTGCACTGGGATTGAGTTTGAAAACTTGGACTAAGCACTTCTCTACATGAAATAGTTATTGAACTGAATTTAAATTTTTTCCCTAAATTCTAACAAAATATTTTAGGGGAAAATGGCAAAAGAGATTAGTATACTTTTTTGACTTTTCAAAATTCCTTTTGCTTCAGAAATAAATAAATAAAATATATGTATATATCACTCTACTTAAAAATAACTAGTGACTAGTGAAACATGCAGATAGTTTATCAAAATTCATCAAACCCACAGGATTTAAAGAATTGGGGGACTAATTTCTTATGGGTTTGAAAAAATGATTTAAAAGTAGGTAGAATAGTTTCTATTTGTAGCCTGTTGTTACTTGCCTCCTTTCAAATGATTAACTACTATATGAAGAATAATAAAAATGTAAAGGAAATGGGCTTTTCTTTAAATCATTTGTTTAGAATATTGGATATGTTTTGCTTTGCTTATCTGATTTTAATTTATGCCCCAGCCACCCTCATAAGTGAACATTTCTAGAGAAATAAATTACAGTTGTATTGCTTTCTTGTGGACTAACCAAATACATTCTTTTGTTCAAAGATGGGTGGAACAAGACCCTAAGGAAATTCTGCAGTCTGTCTATGAGTGTATAGAGAAAACGTGTGAGAAACTTGGACAGCTCAATATTGATATTTCCAACATAAAAGGTATTTTTAATAGAACATTTTACTCCATGGTGTGATTATCTCATTCAAATTCATTCCGCACGTAGAGTGCCTGTGCAGTGGCAAGCATTTCCGTGAGAACTGAGGATATAACAATAAACTGGAAGATTGAGTCCCTGTTCTCATGAAACTTTCATTTTGGTGAGGGTAAGACCAACAATAAGAGCAGACAAATACAAGCTAATCTCAGATACTGATAAGTCCAGTGCAGAAAATAAAGCCCAGTGATATGGTAGAGTGTGCCTAGATAGAGGGGCTTACTTTGAATTGGATGCTAGAGAAGGCCTCTGTGAGGAGGTGACTCTTGCTGAGGTCTCAAAGGCCAAAAGGGGCAGCCGTGCAAATATCTGGGGGAAGAGCGTTTGAGGAAAAGAAGGCAGCACGTGCAAAGGTCTTGAGGTGGGAATAATCTTGGCACATTCCTGGATCAGAAAGAAGGCCAGTATGTCAAAAGTAGTGTAAAAGAGGGGTGAGGCTGATGAGTAAGGGCTTTCAGTAGGAGTTGAAATCAGGGAAATGGATAGGGCCTTGTCAGCCATAGTTAGGAGTTGGGATGTTATTCTTAGTATCACAGGGAGCCATGAGAAGGTTTAAGCAAGGCGGCAGGAGATGACAGGATCTGACTTGCAGTTTAAAGACAACTTCCTGACTGCTGTGTGGAGAGTGGACTATAAAGGCATAAGTGTGGACACAGGGAGGCCAGTGTAGAGGCTGCTGTGGAAGTCCTGAGAGAGAGGATGGTGGCTTGACTGACAGAGGTAGCAGTGGAGGTGGGGAGAAAGGGCCAGAACTTGCTGATGGATTAGATGTCAGGGTAGCAGAGTAGTAGGGTGAGAGGAAGAGGTGAGTCAAAGATGATGTTTGGGGTTTTTGCTGGAGCTCCTGAATAGATACAGATGCCTTCTATTGAGGAGAGAAAAGACTAGAATAAGGAACAGCTGTGGATTGGGGGGGTTGTTTGAAATCAAAACACTTTGCTTGTAAAATCTCCCTGAAATAATTGTTTGAGTGTTAGATTATTATAGATCTTTCTGTTAATTTCTAATAATTTTAACAGAATATCTACCTAAGTTTGGCTTTGTATCATTCATACAGGGAGAAAAAAAAAACAGTAATCCAAAATTGATATGCTAGTGTAAAGGATGGAAGCATAATGTGGTAAACACCATCTCTTTATAGTTTAAATTTTTCAAGTTCATCATTCAAGGGCTATTTTTTTCTTCCTTAGGTAGTTTGGTTCTAGATAAGGGCAAACCGTCAATTAGTTGGTGGTGGCAGTGCCTTGAGATTCATGTCATCTTGACTCTGAGACTTACCAGTATTCCTGAGTTGAAACTTTGGGTTTTTTTTCAGACTTTCTCATATTTCTATAAATAAAACTCACTTAAAAAAAACTAAACATGATCAAAACCATTCATTCAGCAAACCCACAGAGTGCCTACTATGTGCTAGGCATGCTAGGAATACAAACAATGGGGCACAAATAGGGGTGTGCAGTTAATGGTCAAGTGGGGGAAAAAGATGTTAATCTAATACTCACAACAATCACAAATTAATGGAAAATTGTAACAATAGTATAGTTATTTCTGTTGTTGCAGATTTTTAAAAGAAGTAAACACCCACATATGATTTGATATTTGGTTAACAATTTCTTAATATCCTACCCTCATTTTATCCCTCCATCTAAGTGGAAGTGCTTCAAACTTCTTTTAGAGTTGCATTCACCAAGATTCAGATGAATTGTGCATCACAGTGATTGTTGGTTGTTTCCTTGAATTGTTCTCACAGCTTTCAGTCTAAACAGCGTAAACATGTAAGAGGCATTCAGTATCACACTCTGTTATCAAAATATCCATTACCAAAGACATGAATAATCTAGGTGGCTTAAAGCCATGTTTAGGATGTAGATTCCAGGGTGATTGACCATGATTTTGACATCATTTTACCTCCCTTACAGGTAAGGTAGGCTGCGACGTGTTGGCCTTCTGGACCCACTCGGGTGCCGTTCCTTTTTCTCTTGTTTTTGTGGTGTATGTGAAGATGACACACAACTCCTGTCCAAGTGACTTGTCTTCCAGTTGTACTAACTGGTCTGTAAGAATACTGAACACGCAGCTCTCTGCTCTACACTTCTCCGTGTCTGGCCAGTGTGAAACCCATACCTGAGCCAAAGTGACCCAGCACTTCCTTCTCAACAACTACCAGCCTATGGCCAAGGACGAGAACGTTCCACAAGCCCCTCCATACCAGGCCAGTTGTGCTAAATATTTTTTCCCAGATAATTTATTGAATTGGCACTGCCAAGGGCCAAGCTTTTGCTTGCCTATATGGAACTCTATCTATTTCACAGAATACTAATGCTGTAAAGGATCTTCCATCACCTAGACCTAGCTGCAAATGAGGGAAAGGGACTTATTGCAGGTTGTGTAGCTCTTTAGTGGTGGATAACGTTAAAGCACAGCTCCCCTGCCTCCTGGTCCAGTGCTCTTTTTCCTGAGCCACACTGATGATAACCTCACAAACCACTTCAGTTTTTAGTACAAGTGTGGCAAGTAAATGGGCTTTCCAGATGAAGAGCAATTCATTTATAGTCTTACCTGAGAATCATTAAGAGTTCATCATCTCTGGTTGTATTTCCTTTGCAAATTCCAGTTTCATTGGTTTAGTTGTCCTTATCTGTCAGAAAGGTTGTTGATTTCAGGTTCCTATGAACAATTCCTCCAAAATTAAAGTTCACTCTCCAGCTGAACAGCACACGTGAGCCCAGGACAAGTATATAGGCTGTTTCTTTCCTTCATGACTTAGAGAGTCAGGCAGCTCTGTTTGCCTGTCACTGGGCTGAAGGAACTACAAAGTATAAAGAAATACTTGATTCACTTTATTTTAAGAAAGAGTGCATATTTATGCTAATCTGTAATGTATGCCTGTAATATTATCTATGAGAAAATGATGCCAGATTAAAAATGAAATAAACTAAAATTTACATTATGTTGATATGTTCTTAACTTAGAATTTTCATATCTGAAGTAGTGTTCCTAACCATCATTAAGCCCATATGGTATGATTAAATTACGCTAGTATTTGAATCAGGGAGTCACTAATCTAGGTTATTTTAAATACTTAATTATTCTTCAGAAGAAAAAAAAAGAATTACAATACCACATACTCTCATCCTCTACCATGTGATACAAGCAAAACACAACATAAACTGTTTCAAAGATGAGAACATGAAATTCTTAGCAATTAGATTCTCTTATATCAAAAGTAGTTATCTCACAGTTAGAGAAAAGGGAAACCCCTACATCCATTCCTCCACTGCCTCACCCTCCCCAACATAGTCACATACATGTCCATCACTCCTCAGACTCATACTCGCAGGGGTCTCAGAAAGGCACCTCATTCTCCGAAATAACCTCGCAGCAGTGCCCACATCTCATTTGCAGTTGTCCTAACTTGCCTCAAGCACACATCTTCCAGAGACTGTTTTCTTAAAAAGCTTTACACCTCTTCCCACTTTTAGTAGCCCCAGAGCCTTCTTCTGGGGCTCTTATTACTGTGCTATATGTGTTTTTAGGTATTTTTTAAAAGTGTTCCAATTATAAATTATGATTTTATTTTTAAATAAAGATGCGTGTCATCCATAATTCTACAAAGACAACAGTGATACCATTTTTAAAGTATATTTTCTTATCTGTGATTATAACTTTTCACAGATAATTCGAAGCAAAATTTAACCAGAGCTTTTGAATGTAGCATTTAACTAGTCAATTTTACTAGTGACACTCAGTGTAGAGAAAAACACCCCCTGAGAAAGAGTATGTAGGTAAAGCATGAACCTGCTAGATACGAGAGGAATACATTGGGCTTTATATATGCCAATGATTATAGTATCTGTAACTAAAAGACTGCTAGGCCAGGAAATATATACTTTATGCATGTAACTTTCATATGCTCCGAAATAGTAGATGAACTAGGGTGGAGGATTACAAAAGTTGAATGTGTTATTCTGAAAAAGAGGGAATTAAAATTAGGAACTATTAAGAGAGGCACGTATGCTGGGATTAGCAGTCAGAGAATTTTTCTTTAAAAAACATAGAAGATTTTAGGGTAAAAATTATAAGAAGTTAGAACATCAAAAAAGTTCAGAGGCACTGCATAAGGCCTGTGTTCCCTCATGAGAAACCAGTAATAAAGACGTGTTTATGGCTGGAAAAGAATCTTGAGAAGCTGTTTCACTGGACTTTGATCGTCTGCAAGAAAAGCAATTGTATGAAGGAAAGGCACAAAGGAATTGAAGTAAGATAGAGGGGAAAGAAGGAGTGGTCAGGAAGGAACCTGTGACCAATGAATCAGCTACAAATAGCTCTAGATTACATTCTGAGGACAAGTTAGAAGGAACCAATAAAGAAAGGTAACATGAGGGGCATAGAATAGCGACTCAAGGATTGCAGCTAAGGGAGCAGCCAGCCTGTTTATGGAAAATTAAGGCACTGGGGAGGAACAGGAGATTTTAGTGGGCTGTGAATGCATTGGGAGCCCACATTGTAAAGTTGTCACTAAAAGTATCACATTCACAATACCCCACTTTAGCAACCCATTGCCAAGGACCCACTGAGGTCTCTGGCTTCTGCGTGCCCAGAGTGCTGCTGGGGAATTCCTTTATGTGTCCTTAGCTCAGTCCCATTCTCTGCAACTGTTACTCCACTCTGTCCTCAATAATAATGATGACAATGATTGGCAGCAATAAGTAACATTAATTGAATGGTTACTACGTTCCAGGCACTGTTTTAATATGCGTCAACTCAGGGATTCCTCATTGTAACCCTATAAGGTGGGAACTATTATTATCTTCATTTTATAGAAGATAAAACTGAGGCCCGGGGTCATACTGCTGGGAAGCAGAGGAATTGGAATTTGAAACCCAGCAGTCTGGCTTCAGAGCCTGAGCGCTATTGAATAGCACCCCAAACTCACGATCCTACTTTTGCTTGGCCCTGTATCAGCAGATAACCTTGCATGCTACTTCACAGGGAAACTTGAGACTCTGGGGCCTTAATTCTTCAACTTCCTGTTCCTGTGGTTAATGTCTGGATCTCATGCCCCCTTCTCTCCATCAGAATGGAAGCAATAGCCTTCTGCCCTACTTGAGGCTCCTCCCTTTACCTGTGTGTTAATCTCATCCCCTCCTGTCACTACAAGGATCAGGACCGTCCCATTGATTCCCAGCCCCTCTGCTCCCCACATTCTCTTTTCTCGTCTTTATTCCTACAAACGTTTGTCTTCTGTTTTTTTTAAAAACTCTCCAAAATCTCTTCCTCATACCCTATGTCTCTAAGTTTCTTTGGAGTAGAATCTCAATCATCTTCGTACCTCTAGAAAGGGTGTTAAATAAAGGAAGTAATTCTGCATTGGGTAAACATTATTTCGAACAAGGTTGCTGCTGGTTCCGCTCAGCTCTGTGTTGGTCAGAACATTCCTATCGTGTTTTATTCTGGGTGTACAATTTGAGTAATACGAACAGATAGTTGCATGTCCCTAGGAAAGGTAGTGAAGGGATTTTAAACCATGCCGTATGGAGGTGGGGGCAGTGGAAGGAAATTGGATTGTTTAGCCTAGACTGGGGAAGAGAAGACTTGAGGGACAAAATAGCAGCTTGAAGGTTGTGAAAGACTGACATGTGGAAGAAGGATTAACCTTATTCTATGTATCTCCAAAGAAGATAGCTAAGATCTATAGGTGACAGCTATAAGGAAAGGATTTTTTTTAAACCAAAGCTGTGCAATAAAGATTGGTCTGCCTTGAGAGAGGTAGTATCTTGTCACTAGATGTGCTGTCTGAATGGTCACATGAGCGATTCTAGAAGAGATTTGAGCATGAGATGTGTTGTTGATTATATTATATAGCCTTTAAAGTCTGCCATAATCTTAAATTCTGGAAAAGCTCGATCCTTTAGCCCAGTGTGCTCAACCCGAGCTGCACAGTAGAATCACCTGGGGAGTTTTAAGGAAAAATACAAATGCTCAGATCCCACCCCAGGTCACTTAAATTGGAATGTTTGGGGCAGGGCCTGGGCATTGCTTTTTGTTTGTGTGTGTATGTGTGAGGAAGACTAGCCCTGAATTAACATCTAATGCCAATCCTTCTCTTTTTGCTGAGGAAGACTGGCCCTGGGCTAACATCGTTGCCCATCTTCCTCTACTTTATATGTGGGACGCCTGCCACAGCATGGCTTGATAAACGGTGCGTAGGTCTGCGCTGGAGATCTGAACCTGCAAACTGCGGGCCACTGAAGCAGAGCGTGCAAACTTAACCACTACACCACTGGGCCAGCCCCTGTTGCTATTTTTTAAAAGCTCTGAAATTGATTCTAATGTACAACCAAGTCTGAGAACCTGTGATTTAGCTGAATGAAGCTGAACTGAACAAGATGGGATGGATTAGTATTTTATTATAATAACTTACTGTAACTATAGCACTGGAGTTGTATGTAGGTCAGTATAATGTAAATGCCATTGCATGTTGTATTTATGCCTGATTCAAGCTCATATGTCTTGTAACATATTATTAAAATACAGGAATAAAACTAAATTTCTAACTAACCATAATATGAGGTTGCCCAGCATGGAGGATTTTATCTGTGGCTGTTTTCTTAAAATGCAGGCACATGGAGGGAAATTTTTTGTGGCAATTAGTAAGTAAATGAATGAAGTGATTGTTGGTCTCCTCAGAATAATAAATTGGGTTTTATAAGTTTGTAAAGTTATTGTGTTAACCTTCTTATAAGGTGACTTGGGAGCCTTTCATTTGGATATTGATCTGGGTCCGTGTCATCATGTGTTGGTAGTGAAGCGGAAAGTAGTCTGTAGAAATAAAAAGAAACACTTGACATTAGGTATCCACTTTTCCTGGGGCCACTCAAAGAAAAAAAAAAACCAGCTCAATACCACTACAAACGTTCCAAATGTTTTTTCGAATTGTTATGTTTAGTTGTGCCTGTTTAAAAAAATGAGAACTATTCTCCTGAAGTCATTTTCTACTTTATTTAATTTTCTACTCCCTTCTGTTTAACTTTCTCTTTAAAGCTATTGGTGTCAGTAACCAGAGGGAAACCACTGTGGTCTGGGACAGGTTAACTGGAGAGCCTCTCTACAATGCTGTGGGTAAGCTGTCTTGCATGGATATCAAATGCAAGGCCTTTCTTCACTTGCAAATGTTGTCATACTAAAATATCTGGCTAAAAAAAACATGCAGTCATGTTTCCTATAATCTGCTGGGATGGGCACAAGAGTCCTTTAAAAAATCAGTTGCTATATATTTACCATTTTCAGATACTTATTCACATATTGAATGAACTCTTTCTCATGTTCTCCCCTTTTCCAGATTATTTGTATTATACAAATAGGAGAATGTTGCCAGAACTGTTTCATAAACCCTGATGTTTGTGACACCTAAAAGAGATCTTACTTCCTTTTCCCCTCAAAAATCAAAATCACAAATGTTCACAGTCATCTCTCTGTAAAGTACTGGTGTATTTGTTCTTCTCATCTAGGAATTTGAATTGACTCTTCCGAGATTATGAAAATAAAATCTCAAAATTTTAACTCCTTCTGTTACAAATTTGGCTATTTCAGCAGGGGTTTAAAAACTCAAAATCTCAAATATATCACCATTAACTATCACATCTTATTAAATGTAAATGACCATGGTATATTTTAGCGTCACTCTTAGTACATGACAATTGAGCACTGAATGACGCTGTCACTTGCTAAAAGGAAAATTTTGTTCTAAATCTGCAATCACTAAAAGGTGTTGTTTTGTCACAAGTAGCAAAGCACAGTTTTTTGTCAATAAAATACCAGGTTATCGGGTGGGGAATGGAGGCAGAAATTGTCAGAGATGGGCTGATTTATAGAGTGAGCTATTTTTACTTAACAGTTTCTTTGGTAATATACTTACTTTAGTATTGATTGGTAGAAAGTGATATTCAAGCAAAAAATATACTAAAAAGGTGCCTTGTAAAAGTAGCATGAATTCTTTGGAGATGCTCTTTGTAGGAAGTTAAGATATTTAATGTTGCAGTGTTATAAGAGAGCATTTCGTATGTCTTCTGTATGATAAAAAATTAAAGACTCAAAAAATTTCGAAGAATTGCAACCAAAAACCCTATTACAGGGCCGGCCCCGTGGCTTAGCGGTTAAGTGCTCACGTTCCGCTGCTGGTGGCCCGGGTTCAGATCCTGGGCGCACACTGACGCACCGCTTCTCCGGCCATGCTGAGGCCGTGTCCCACATACAGCAACTAGAAGGATGTGCAGCTATGACATGCAGCTATCTACTGGGACTTTGGGGGAAAAAAACAAATAAATAAAAAAAATAAAAAAAATAAAAAAAATTTAAAAACCCTGTTACACAAAAGTACATCTTTTAAATCTTTATTTTGTTCTCATTCTCATGAGTAGCTCATTTTGAATATGAGTAAAGCAAGATGTTACGATTTTAATGACTAGTACCTTGGAGAGTATTCTTTGACAGAGCAATGTTAGCTAACTTCTTGAACTAGTTAGGATTTTACTTTGTTTCCCTGGTGAAAGAAAGGGCCTACTCAAAGGAACCAGAAAGTTCCCCTTAAACTCTAAACTTTGAACTGTAAAAATGCAACTTTGGACTTCGAGTTGTCATTTGAAAATAATGCAACTAGGTTAGTTGAAGTTATGCTTACAGTGAAGGATTTAAGTAAATATTTTACCAGAAAAACTTTTTTTTTCTGTCATGTGCTTGTTTACTCATTTCCTTTTCTTCTACCTCTGTCCCTCTGCACCCCTCCCTCATTCTACGTACTTTGGAGTATTAATTCAAACTGTACCTATGGAATATGAAGAACTTTTTTTCTATATTTTTTTCTATACATGTGTGTTTTGAGAACCTCTTATGTGTTTGGTGCCATACTGGGTGAGTTAAAGAGGATATGAATTATTGGCTGTTTTTATAAACACTTTATAATCTAGTTTTGGAAAGAGACTAACACAAAATTAGGAAATAGTTGATAAATTGTGTGCTGCTAAGTTGAATAAGAATTAGAGCAAGTGCATGTCAGTATGGATTTTGAATTTGTGGCATACCTTTGGAAGAGGTTGAACTCTATTTTGGGCCTTGAAGAATGTGTTAGATTATATTAGGAATAGAAAAAATTGAGAAATAGTGTGAACAAACTATGAAGGTGAAAATGTGTACATATATTTCACTAGAGTGAAGAGACTGATCGAATTTGAGCATAAGATCACTTATTAGTTTTAGTAGAACTACCAGTGAAAATAATGCTCAGTAAGCGCTAACTGCTATTACCGTGTACTAGGGATTGTGCTAAACACTTTGCCTGTATTATTTAATCTCAGTGACCTGTGAAGCAGGTTTTTCAAGCCTTATTTTATAAATGAGTTATGGAAAAGCTATATAGCTTGTCCAATGTCGTATAGCTATAAGTAGAGATAAAGCCACAGTTTGAACATCAACATCTCCAACCCCAAAGTCTGCATTCCAATTTGGATAGATAGATATTGGTGAGGGTATAGAGGGCACTAAAAGCTGTGCACTGGGCAACATGGGACAAAATGGGTAATAAAGGGGAGTTTAGCTTCCCACACTAGTGGAATGGGTTATTTCAAATGTACTTGTCTGCTGATACCAGCTCAAAAAGCTGGACAAAAAAAAAAAAACAACACAACAACAAACTGTCTGAAGGACTGGAAGGCTACCAAGGCAGTGAGGAATTGTGGGACCAAGATCAAGGAGAGAAGGAAAGCCCAGAGAGTTGAGCCTGGAATTTGGTGTTGCTTATTCCCTAGAGATATCTGTAGATTCTGAAAGGAACATCTGAGAGGCTAAGCAGCACTTTCATAGGTTTATGAAGATAGAGAGGCAAAAGGTGAAGTCAGGGGCTGCCAAGGGTGGGGATGATATTGGTAAAATCCCTGCCTTTCAATTGGGACAGTGAAAGGCCAATCCTAAAAGTAGGGTCAACTGGAAATGTACTCTCACAGAAATTGAAGCCCAGATTCAAATAATTTTAAACCCTGATTGGATTAAGAAGATCTGAGATTGCTAATGCTCGTAGCCAAACTTCCTTTCAGAAACAAAAGTGAACCCTTCCTAAAGGAAAAGTATCTCTAGATTTTTTCGTATACAATATCTAGTTTTCTGTAAAAAATAATCAGGCATACAAAACAAAACATGACTAAAAACCAATAGAACGTGACATTAGAAACAGACCCATAGGAAAAAATCCTGATACTAGAATTTTTGAGAGTTTAAAATAATCATGATCAACATGTTCAAGTAATTAATTGACAGGATAGATAATCTTAGCAAAAAATTTGAAATTTAAAAATGGAAATTCTATAACTGTATTAAAAACTCAAACTCAGTGATGAGTTTTACATCAGATTAGACACAGCTGAACATGAATTAGTGAACCAGAGGAGAGATCAGAAGTAAATTTCCAGACTGAAACACAGAGAGACAAAGGTTTAGAAAATACGGAAAAGAATCTAAGAGAAATATGGAGTACCTGTAAAAAGGTCCAACATATTTGTAATTGGAGTCCCAGAAGAAAAGGAAAGAGAGATGATAAAGTTTTTGAAAACTGATGAAAGTTATCAAGCCCCAGATTCAAGAAGCAGTATGATCCTCAGGCAAGATGAATACACAGAAAGTCATACATAAACATATGCTGAGACCTGAAGATAAAAAGAAAAACTGTAAAGTAGCCAGAGGAAAAAAGATATATGACCTTCAAGAGAGCAACACAAAGACTTTTATCTGATTTCTCAATGGAAGCAAAGTAAGTCAGAATACAATGGCATGAAATCTTTAAAGTGCTAAAAGAAAATAACTTCCACCTAGAATTCTATATCCAGTGAAAACATTCTGAAGAAATGAAGGTGAAATATAAAGACAAAGACAACCAAAAATCGATAGAAATTATTATAAGCAAACCCCCACTAAAGGAAAAACTAAACAATGTTTTTCAGATAGAAGGAAAATGTTCTCAGATGGAAATTTGGCAATGCAGAAAGGAATGCAGAGCCCTAGAAAGGGTAAAAGTGTAGGTCAGTCTAAGTGAATTTTGACTGTATAAAACAATAATATATTGTGATGTTCAAAATATATTAAGAATTAAAATACATGACAACACTAGTACATGAAAGAAATTAGGGATAGATCAGGTTAAAGTGTTTTGAGGTCCTTGTATTGTCAAGGGTGCACATTGTAATGTCTAGGATAAGCACTAAAAGAGTAAAATAATGTATAATTAATTAGCTTATAAATGGGTAAAGTGGAATGAAAAGTTAAGAAAGGAATGAAAAAGGAACATGAAACAGGAAGGAGGGACAAATAGAAAGCATTTAAATCCAAATATACGAGTAATTATATGAAAAAGGACAAGATTCATTTCTCTGCAGTAAAATCTAGCAAGGGAGTTAATTGAGACTGCTAGTGAATTGATGGGATTAGTGCATTGAGATAGAGAATGGAGAGGAGAAGGCAAATTAGCGAGACCTTTCAGAGGAAAGATACAATCTCCAAGTTTGTAAATTGGATAGGGCATAAAGATGAGGGAAAAATAAAACAGGGCTGCAAGATTTTTAACCTGAGAGAACAGAAGGAAATTAAGTAATGTTTAAGGGGTACCAACCTGGGAGAAAAATGGCTTTTTTTGGACAAGGTGAGTATTGGACTTGTAATCAAAGCTAATTTCTGTGCAATTAGAAATTTGTGGCTCTATTATAAAGAGATCGTTCAAAATGTAGACATAAAAGTTGGTAACATAGAGATGATAATCTCAGTTTATTATAGATGAATTTACTATAGGAATGAATGAATGCAAAATTAATTAATCCAACAAAAATTTAGGTGCCCATCTATGTACCAGGTTCTGGTGATGACCCCTAGGCAAATAGTGACAAATCAGCCAGGCATGGTGCTTGCCTTTGTGACACAAAAGGCTAAGGATAGGAATTTAGGAGCTAGAAGGAGAAGGAGAAATAGAAAAGGAGAAGGAGGAAGGAGTAATTAGCTAGGAAGAGAGGCCACTAAGTAATGACAAGGATGGATTCTGCCTCCAATTTTATTTCATCCAGGAAAACACTAGGGTGTCATATCTC